CTGTAATAAATACATGAAGTATCTGGCACATGCTCTCCTCTTCCCTGTGTCCTGGTTAGGAGCAGAGAGAGGAAATACAGGACACCATGGCAAAATCCCAAGACTTTGGGGACTCTCTTGTACAACCTCTGTTGTACACAGAATACAGACATAATAAATGTGTTATATTGTTAATATGCAGTATGTAATGCTGATAAATTCATTAATAACCATTAATGGCAATTCACTTGACAGGCAAATAAGCTTGTTTGATTTGATAAATCACTGCCCTGAAGGTCAGTTGTAAGTAGGTGAATAAGTTGGACAATTTAAATAAGTGAATAGGTGTCCACTAGTGTTAGGCAAACAGGTTGGTGGCCTTCAGCCCTGTGGGGATCCAGGGTAATCTGCCCGTCTTCTGCTGTTGTCCTTTTCGTTGGATGCTGTAGCATGCAGGATTCCAATTTTGATCAAGGTAGACAAGAGAAGGATGGCTTAGTTCTCAGTGAAGTGGCAAATCTGTTTCTGAGATGAACCACTTCAGGCTGTCAGTGTAGGGATCACATGAGTCTACCCTTCACTTAAAAAACAAAACACTGCACAGGAAAATACCATGCCAGACGGAGGGCTAAATAATGATCCTTCTCCCTAACATTTAGTTTTCTGTGCACATGGAAGAACTAGTGCTTGCAGAACAATGCACCTGATTAAGTAAACTCTTCAATCAAGTTTTACGCTGGAATAAATTTTGTTAGTGCCAATCGACTCCTGTGCTGTTTTTCTTGCCAAGCCTATCCCTGCTGTCTTGCAGGTATACAAGGCTTCTTGGAAGAAGTAACATCCGTGCCCTCGGGACTTATTACAGTTCCACAGGGTTTGTAAGGCAGAGATGTTCCGCCAGGCGTTTAGTTGAGGACAGTGACAGTGTCCATCTGGCCCACACTCTCTCCCCTCCCCCCTGCAAGGAGGTAGCACAGTTGGAACTTTGATCGCCATCTGTTTTTTTAAAAAACTGCATTGCTACTATGGAATTTTATTGTGATTTTATTTGTTTTAATCTGTATGATACGAATTTGGTTTTGTTGTGCTCTGCCCTGAGCCCTACTGGGGAATGGGAGGTATAAAAATCGAATATCTCTCCTTATATAATTCTGTTTTGGTCATGGACTCCCCTGAACATTCCAACACGCTTCCAAATCAGTTGGCTCTATGATCTGTCATTCAGAGGGTCTCCCTATCCACTGCGTTGCCTGAGTCCTGCCTCCAACATTCTAAACAGTTTGCTGTTCCTCTCCCCCCCATAGCCAGTCAGAACACAGAGATCATTTGCATATGTGGCCTGACTGGCCTTTGCCTCTAACATTCTAAACAGTTTGCTGTTGCTGTTCTGAGGTAAAATGTGTTTTGAGGTAAAATACATTTCCCCTTAGTGCCTTTTGGGGGAAACCATTGTTGCCAATTTCCAGGTGAGGGCTGAAGACCACTCAGAATTACAACTGCTTTCCAGATGGCAGAGATCAGTTCCCCTGGAGAAAATGGTGGACTCTGTGTCCTGATATCCCGCTGAGATGGCCCCTGTATGACAGCCAATGTGACGTAGCAGTCAGGGCTTCAGAGCATGGTAGAGGCTGCAGGTGGGGGGGGGTGGAAAGCTGAAGAGTGAGGGGAAAATAAAGGTAGGTTGATGATTGGCTGGGAAGGAGATAGGTTTGCCAACTCCAGGTGGAAAATTCCTGGAGATTTGAGAGATGGAACCTGGAGAGGGTGGGGTTTGAGGAGGGGTGGGACCTCAGACAGGTACACTGCCATAGACTCCACCCTCCAAACCAGCCATTCCCTCTTTGGAAACCATTGTTGCCAATCTCCAGGTGAGGGCTGGAGATCACTTAAAATTACAAGTGTTCTTCAGGTAGCAGAGATCAGTTCCTCTGGACAAAATGGTGGACTCGGTGTCATTATACCCTGCTGAGGTCACCACAGCAAATTGACACTGAGTGCTCAAGGCCAGGGCACCTGCCCAGAGCCTCTTTCTAGAGTTCGTTGTATTTATTTCCACAACAGGCCTTATTCCTAGTAATAAATAAAGATGGAATGGATGACATGATTATGCAAGTTCCTAGCTATCAATAAAGAGCAAAATAACACTACCATTTCGCAAAATTCCATCTGCAAGCACACTATTCATTCTAGACCACCTATTAGCACCCATTTAACTCTAACTTGAATCCACATAATGGGGAAGTCTTCCTTTTCAGTATCTCTTCACTCAAGCCAAACCCAACTGTTAAGTAACCCTAGGGTAGCTACCACGACTGTGACTGTGCAGACACTGAGCTACCCTGGCAGCCAGTTGTGTGCAGGGCTGCTTGTGTGAAACCACTGATCTTTGCTATGTCAATGTAAATCTGGTAAAAGGGTCTGCAGAGGTGTGCTGAATAATGCATCTGTTCCCAAAAGCAGTAGCTGCCAATTTGTTAATTAAATCTGCCACTGCTACCACCAATACATCACAGAATGAAGATAGTTCTCAAGTCCCTTGACAGATGTCTGTACTTTACCTACAGCGGATGCTTGCTCAGGCCTATCGTCTCGTATAAAATAATCCTATTAACTTTTCTACTTTTTTATTTCTTTTACACTTGATTTTTTCCCTTGTCTTGCTATGTACCACAGTGCCCAAAGGCCAGGGTAGCTCAGTGTCTGCACAGTCACAGAGCCGTGCTCTGAGAAAGCATTTTTTTTTTGGGGGGGGGAGGTCAAATGGGCACTGAACATTTATTAAAGACACGATGAAGGATTCAGCCAAATCCCTCTGTCTCATCTGGAAAAATAGGCATGATGCTTGACGACTTCCCAGACATGATTATGGGACTGATTATGGGATGATTATGGTTTCAGAGCTTTCCAGGGCCTAAAAGTTCCCTGCCTTAGTAAGTGAATGAATAACTCAAAATACTTTTTTAGACATCTGATGAAAAACACCCCGAGTTAGCATTAGCAATCCTTCCCTTTATTTTCAACAGGGTGTTTTACATTCATGTTTTATATGCAAATAGGGCATAAAATGGGGGGAAATAAGGAAGGAATTTGCTACACAATGAGCCCACCCCGAAAGGACTGCAGAGTCCCCACCCAAAGCAGATACTCAGGGCTCTGCCAACATCTCTTGGAAATAAATCTCCACAATTTCTATTTTACAGTTGGGAGACTGGCAGACAGTTAGTAAGTAGCTAGCATCAACTTGCTGGAGTCTAAAACCCAAGTCTCCAAGATCCTCCATGTAATTCACTGTGTCTCACTCGCTCCCTGGCAACCTTGAAAACAATAATTTGTTAAGAAGGTAAGAAGGGACAAGCTTAATGGTCCGTCTAGTACAACATCCTATTTCACACAATGACAAAATAAATACTGCAGAAAGTCCCACAATAGGGGGCAAAACACCTCCACCTATTCTTAACCCCTCCTGCCAGCAATTGCTATTAAAAAGTGTTATTTCCTCCATACATGGAGGCTGGCTAACAGCCTTTGATGGACTTATCCTCCATGAATTTACCTACTCTCCTTTTAAAGACATCTAAGACAATACCTGTCAATACATTCTATGGAACTGAAGTCTTCAAGTTAATTATAAATTATATTCAAAAAGTTCTTTCATCAACCTTGAAAATCTTCTGCCCACCAACTTCACTGGGTGTCTGTGTTCTAACATTATGATTGTTGTTGTTCAGTCGCATAGTCGAGTCCGACTCTTTGCGACCCCATGGACCACATCATGCCAGGCCCTCCTATCTTCTGTCGTGCTCTGGAGTTTGGTTAATTTCATGTTTGTTGCCTCGATAACACTGTCTAACCATCTCATCCTTTGCTGTCCCCTTCTTCTTTGACCTTCAGTCTTTCCCAGCATCAGGGTCTTCTCCAGTGAGTGCTCCCTTCTCATTTGGTGGCCAAAGTATTTGAGCTTCAGCTGCAGTATCTGGCCTTCCAGGGAACAGTCAGGGTTGATTTCTTTTAGGATTGATTGATTTGATCTTCTTGCAGTCCAGGGGACTCTCAAGAGTCTTCTCCAACACCATAATTCAAAAGAATCTATTCTTTGGCACTCAGCCTTCCTTATAGTCCAGCTCTCGCAGCCATACATGACTACTGGGAATATCATTGCTTTGACCATACGGACTTTTGTTTATGATACATTATGATACAGGGAGATAAAAACCTTTCTATCAATTTTCTCTACATTATATATCATTTAACCAAGCTATTATGCTCCCTCCTAAATGTCCTTGGGACATTTTAATCACAGGATATCTCACTGCAGTGTTAAATGAAATTTCCACCCCAGCTTTCCTGGGAATCCTCTGCTCATGGAATAGGGTCTCCAACAAAGCCTACTTGGGGCCTGCCCAGAATTATAGCTCCAGTCCACTTATTATAAACTGGCTCAACTTTATACTCTACAAGTGCCTTTCAAAGGAAAAAAGTACACTCTTACTTGCAAGTTAGCCCCACTGAACCCAGTGAGACATTGCTAACAAAAATGCTCAGGACAAATTATTCTCATACAAATGAAAGAAATCTCATTTAAAATTACATAAAAGTCAAGAGAGGAATGTGGCACCTGAAATGTCATTAAAATAATTCAATAGATTAGGGGCTTTTTCATATAAAACAACAGGGATTTGTTTTAATTCAGTTTATGTCATATACATTCCCTTTTTCTCTTCTACATTAAAAGTTTCCATATATTACACAAAAAGTATAAGAGAGGCTCAAATGTGCTTCCTAAGGCATATCTACAAATTTGACAGTTTGATTCAACTGTCATGGCTTCTCTCAAGGAATCGCGAAGCAGTTTAAAGAAGCACTGAGAATTCCATTTCAAATTCCAAGCCCTTCATGACAGAACTACAATGAGTAGGGAGAAGAGAAACAGTATTAAACCAGTTAAAAGTCCTCAGTGCAGATTAACCCTAGATGTCACATGGGGACAATGCAGTAAAGTGCAGCGATCATCAGTGCTTTACCTGATACAATTCTATCCGCTGTTCAGATACTCGAGCCTTTGGATTCTGCAAGCGAAAGACTCTAAACTCTGCCTTCACGAGGTTGGAAGCATTTTTCTCCATTGCTGAGACGTCAAATCTCACTCGTCTAAAATAGGCGCTGGGTTGCGGTGATTTTTGTGGAATCTTGTCTGCAAGAAGGTAGAATAATGGTTTAAAATTGTAGATATATTTATCTCTCTTTCACTAGACTGCAGCACAAGAGAGCCTCCAGAAACTGTGACGGAAATGTCTGATGGATGATGCAGCTTCCAGCATCCAATTTTGGTATCATTAACAATTTAGCCACATAAACAAACACATGTGTTTGATTACAGAAACAGCAGATTAATAGTGATCAGCAAATCATTTCCAACTTTCTGTCAGGGGCATGCATTTAACCTTATTCTTTGAAAGCAATGGTGGAAAATCCTGGATGATTATAAATTGGAATAAACTCATGACAGCTGATGTTTCACAAATGACTTCAGACTTATAAACACTTAATCACACTTGCCAAGAATATAGGAATTAATGGCAAGACATTTGCCCTGTGTTGCTGGAATAAAAATATCTAAACCCTTGACAATGTGTTTTGCGTTTTAAGTATTTCGAATGTCACGAGTCTTTACTTGAATAAGGGAATATTAAGGGCCAAACTAGATTTACAAGCAGATGTGTGTAACATTACCCTGCTGGAGTGTTTTAAATGGGAAAATCCACCTGTGAGGAGATGACCAAGATCAGACAGGTGGTGGTCAGGGGGAGTTCTTAACTCTTTCCCTGCTCAACATTTCCCAGTGACTTTCCTCCTTTTCACTGCAGTGTTCCACAAATATACACTGGGCCCTCAACTGGCAGAAAAGATAATCTTTTAGCTTTTCTCCAAACAATTTTCCTGACCTAAAATGTTCCTCAGAAGTGCTCTGAGGCCTGTTGGGGAAACCACACAGTTGTGGGTTTCCCCAGTGGTCCAAAGGATGCACTCCTGGGCTGCTTCACTTCAGGAACATACTGAAGCCGAAGGCTGAAGCCACTTCTCTACACACACCACAGACAAGTTGAACAGGGCCCTTCACACATGCCAGTTGAAGAAAACTGGCAAGTAATGTGTACGGTTAGACAGGACATGTCTATTTTTCTCTTTTACACCAGTGCTGCTAATTGTACTTGACTGGTAACAGACACATGTAATTTGTCAAGGAGAGGTAGTCATCTATCATGCCCTCTGTTTATTTATTTGTTTGTCTGCTTGTTTAAAGATCTAGCACCCCCTTCCAAAGGTCATGGCTGTTCAGTATGGTAATAATAATGGCTGTTTAGTATGGTAATAATTTCATTTCACAATTAGTTACCGTCTTTCCATTTTAAGCTCAGTTGCTTCAGCAGAAGATACTGACGGGGAGGGGGGAGCCAAATAAACAGAACAAAGCTGAGCTTTTAACTACTCAAACTCTGCATGTGAAAACATACAGCCCCCAAATTCACTAAGTATGACTGATTAGATCAGCCAAATGGGTTGCTAATTCATCAAAGTCAAGGTGCACCATGCCATTCGACACCAGGGGACATTTCACGTACAATACTTTTCAGATTGCGTTGGTCAACTAAAGATGACTGGCACTGAACATTCTGAAGGGAATCTGCAATGGCAGTAGCGGAAGTGAATACAGATTTCATTGCTATTTACTTCTGCCTCTGCCATTGTAGAATGTTCTGCACAATCAAGTCAACTTTGGTGCAAGCCAAGTTTCATCTGTTCTCCTTTTATCTTTCATCCCACTTCACCACAGAGATGATAATCTGGTAGGTACACAAAGAAAGGTCTTTTTGGCAGCAGCCCCATGATTATGGAACCACCTCCCACTGGGAGGTGGGCCTAGCTCCCACACTTTTGATCTTCAGGAGGCAGTAGAACACAGTTTTATTTAGGACAACATTTGATTAATTTAGTTTTTATTTGATGGCAGACCTAAGTGAGATTTTAAATGGTGGTCTTTTACGTGCTTTTTATCATTGATGTTTTTTCTACATTGCAAGCCTCCTTGAATTCCAAAAGGTAGAAAAGTGGCTAACAAATGTTTTAATTAATTAATTAATTAATTAAAGGTTCACTGCAAACCTTGGGAGGTAAGGTGTGTGTGTGTGTGCAAATCTGTGCACAGCTGATAATTGATTTAAAGGAACCTGTGCAACCAAAACCAGCTGAAGTCCTTTTTAAACCCATGATCTGATACTCTCAAGCAGCACCATATTACATGTACTCAGTAAGACCAGATTTAAATCTTGAGCCAAATGCTTTTCTGTGGGAGTACGTGAGCAGCAAGATATTAGTATTTATGGGGATTGCTCAATCGGTCTGCTCATTGTGTCATATTGGTTACATATTTTATATAAAATAATAATATTTATTGCATTAGCAAGAAAGCCATAGCAAGTTACATATTTTATATTATTATATACTTCCTGCGCATAACTCTGCCATACGATAATAAATAAATAAATAACGTGAACAGTCCAAAAGAGCAAGAGACCATTAGCACCTTAAAGACTAACAAAATATGTGGCAGGGTATGAGCTTTTGTGAGTCACTGCTCACATTACCGGGCTAGATTCACATATGGGATCTTCACAATGTCATGTTTGATGTTGTCATGTAATAGCTGCTGAAATGCTCCATCCACAGCCTTTATTCACTACAAAGCATTGAGCGAGGGAGGGAGGTTGGACTAGATAGCCTGGTATGGCCCCTTCCAACTTCATGATGTAAGCAAGTTGTAAACCGCCCTGAGCCCCGCGTAAGCAGGGAAGGGTAGTCAAGAAATTGAACAAAATAAATAAATCATAAATAAATAAATGATTCTAATCTACTCTGACTGGCAGCAGCTCTCCAAGGTTCTCAGGCAAATAAGTTTTTTTCTCCAACAGTTGCTACCTAAGATCTGTTAACAGAAGATGCTGGGCACTGAATCTGGGACCTCCTGCATCCAGAGCACGGGCTCAACTACAGAGCTGTGGCTTCTTCAAACTGCCCCAGTTGCTTTTTAAAGTTAAAAAAACCAGGATATGCAATCATGAATCTCACACATAATGTACAGTTTAACCTTCTCTCTCCTCCACTACTGGCATCCAGATGGTAAGCATCGTAGGACAGAGACCTCTTTTTTTGTTTTGTTTATGATACACTATAAAGACCCAAAAATGTTCATGGTGCTATATAAGCAGTAACAATAATACAACTGATGATGATGGAGTATCTTAGACTTTTCTGATAACAGCATTCTGATCTTGATATGAAGGAGCCCTAAAGCGAGTCTGGTCCATTTCAACTGCATGTCTAGATTCCTTGCTAGAGAGGAGAAGCACCAAATATTCTTTGACAGACCACCCTAAATGACTGGAACTAACTCAATATGTTTCCTGTTACTGGGGAAACAAACAGCTTTTCTTATTTGTACAGACCATCTGGGATGCTTTCAGTATTTTGCTGTCTTTCACACATGAACATACACACCGATGCAGGAAAAACAGAGAGAGCTCCAATCTAATCTTGCCAACAAAAGTGGGTAATAAATACTCTGAAGATTTATTTTTATTTCCTGTTGTGTTTGGAGGGACCCCCCCCTTCCCCAGCAAGTCTCCTTTCCAAGTACTTTGCCCATCCTTAATTACAGCAGCCACAAGCCACGGAGGTCCTATTGCTTTTCACTTCTCTCTTATGACCACATGCATGAGCCATGTACTAGGCTTTGATGCAGTAGATGCAAATATTTATAAGAGTCACTTGATTGTGATTAAAAGTGGTTGCAATGCTCTCTTTACTCTGGCTGGCTTCCCTAGACCTCTGCCTAGTAGGACTGTTTAAGTTTCTGCTGATAACAAAAACGGATTATGAAAAAGAAAAGAAAAGAAAGAAACCCCAAATGAGCAGAAGCTAGACACTCTGGTACAAGGTGAAATAATTTCTTCCCCTGCTCTGTTTACAGTTTACTCCCTGATCTACATATGGGCTTCAGTCCAGAACAGTCTCCTCCTTAAGTAACAATGAAATGTGATAACTGACATTGTTTGCATGGAAAGCAAATCCAAAGGGAGAGGTCATTATGCATCACCGCAAGTCTTTCCGGCAGGATCTTCTCCTTGCTGTCAGACTCACAAGGGTCACAGACCTTCTCCACCCTTTCAAGGGAGACCTTCTCCAAGAAATGAAAAGTGTGTGTAGCACAGCTGGATTCCCAAAACTAACTGCTAATTAACACTGTTCCTTTTGTGTCCCTGATGTGAAGGGATAACTCAGGATAAGGCGAGGCTTAATGCAAATAAGTGCACGAAAACGCATATTGGGCCATTCTGCCCCCCCCCCCCAATCCTCACATACACAATCAGGCTCAAACCAAACATTATGTGCTGATCCATGTAACATGCCCCAGATGCTCTTTTTAAACAGGGGAAAAAACTTCCAGGAGGGTGTTCAAGACTGAAAAAGTGGCAAGACGCAGGCTTTAAACATTTCTCTTCCTTCCCTACTCCAAACTGCACTCCAAGCAGCTTCCCTTTTCATAGAATTTCAAAGGTAATGAAACACATGAACAGAAAAAGTATTTAGTAGGACTCATTTGGAATAAGGAAAAGGTGATCAAAGAAAGATGGGAGAGGGAAATCACTCCCTCTCCCATCATGTCTCCAGTACTGCTCATGACTCTGGAAAAGGCTTTTCCTGTCTATAAGGACTACCTCTACCTGCAATTTAATTTGGTCCTAATGGGTTCTGCATTGCACATACTACTCAGAAAAGAGATCTTGAGGTTTTGGTGTATCATATATTCTGATAGTGAGCCCAGACCAACCTTGGATACTTATATCTGGAGATCAGGACCAAGGGGAGAGGTGTTTTTTTTTTCAAACCGGGGGGGGGGGCAGGTTTGCAGAAAAATCTGAAACCTTAAAAATGGGGCAATGAGTTTAAAAAAAAAACTTTTAAAAGGAGCCATTGTATGTGCTTGTACACACAATGCTCCTCCACTGGCCTGGCAGTGTCTGCCCTCCAACGCGTGTGCAGTTCAGCCAGTATCTGGGAAATTTGGAGCACCAGTGTGCCTTCTTCCATGGCTGGCAAAACGTCCCAATTGCTGGCTCAGCCAGTGCACAGCTC